GTTTTAACTCTTATTTGCCGAAAACAATGTGAATAACAGCAAATTGTTTCAATTGTGTACAGTAAACATTATAAGCGATCGAAACATCTAGAATAGATAAATAATTCTTACTAATCTTTACTAATATTTGGAATGCGATACTCATGTGTGATGTATGTTTGTAACTCAATCACGCCAAAACGGCTGCAAGGAGCTGGATGTAATTTGGCACAGGCGTAGGTTACACTCCGGAATAGGACATAGGCAACTTTTTATCAACATACCACGCTGGCGAAGCTGCGGGCGTAAGCTAGTCGTATATACAAATGTCGACAAAGACGCGTGTCCTGCACGTGGGTTGTGGGTAAACCGCAAAGATAGGTATACTCCGTCCCGACTCGGAGCAAACTCATAGTCAAAGTCAAATCATTTATTTCTAATAGACCACTATATAGGCACTATTGAACGTCAAAAAATTAGCAGGATAAAAAATCGGTGTGGTTTTTAGTCAGAAAGAGTCTGTCATTCCCGCTGGCCCCAAACCAGGCTTTTTTTGTGAGACGAATATCATCAAATGACTTCTCCTGCCCTAGATGGAAAATGGAAATTGAAATGGAATGAGGGAATGTCAGACTCTTACTGACTAAAAACACTCTCGTTCCTGCTCCTGCTCTGGGCCGAGGCCGCAGTGCCTCATTGCGCTGGCCCCGCAACCCCGGCTGGCCTCATCCAGGCTGGGAGAAGTCATCAAATGATTTTACCCCTCAAAACAAAAGTGACCAGTATTTGAGAAAAAATTTTTTATGTAATAGGTCGGCTAACTAGCTGAGAGAGACGGATTACTTGATGGTAATCAATCAGCGTCGCCCATGGACACCCGCAAAGGAGGAGTTACGAGTGCGTTGCCGATCTTTTAGTGATTAGGGTTTTGGAGATTTTGGGATTGGGGGAGGGGAAGGATTGGGCCTCCGGCAACCTCACTCACTCGGCGAAACACAACGCTGTGGTTGTTTCACACCGGTTTTCTGTGAGGCCGTGGTATCACTCCGGTTGTGCCCACCCATTCTTGCCGAAGCATGGCTCTCCCACACTTGAACAAAATGTTTTATTGTTCCTCATAGTTTTTTGAATTGCTTTTAATTTAGGTGGGAGGTATCTTCATAAAGACACACACATTACATTGTATTACAAGCTAATTAAAAGGTTGTATAAAAATGACTTGTTGCGTTACACATAAATATTTATTAACGTTAATTACCGTCAGTTGAGAGAATTCTAACCAATTTAATTTGTTGAGATAATAACACCTCATGTTTAAGCAGACAGGTAGTTAATTTTGAACTTTTGAACAATGCTATAGGTGCCTAATACCGCTGACACTGAAATATAATTGCCATTAAATAAATTTAGAAAAAATACATATTTAGGAGGAATTAGCGATGTTGAAATGATAAGTGGATCGGATTTTTTTAAACTAATTTATATATTTTATAGACACCTTAATTATGTCTGAGCTTCCATTCGCGTTGCCAAATATAAAACAACGTACAATACCTACCTGACTTTTTACTATCTCTGAGCCAATATTCACCAAAAGAGTAACAAACATCTCGGATGGATGTCCACTCATACTTACAATTTTGAAATTTATTTCCTAACGGGTTGGCGTGAATTAACTGAGGAAAGCTCAACTTTGATGATAAACTTGAGACGATAAAATAATATATTTACACAAAAATGTTTCCTGGCCACAATTACATACATTTACAGATTTTTTTGAATTTGTAAAATGTTAAACGGCACGGATAGCCTTTGATATTAATTGTAAGTATAAAAATGATATAAATATATGCATTTGAGACATTATTTAAAAAAGCAAAATACTATGAATAACTTGAAGATACTTCTGTTCCACGCCATACAATGAAATAAAGAGCATTGAACTTTAATAAATATTTTGCCAATGTCAAGCAGTTTGACGGTAAACTACTTAAAACAAGGATTTTTTTTATCAAAAGATTTAAGATGTCGGATGCAAGATGTGTCACGATGACATGTTACCTACCTAGTTTTCAAGGTTAACTTTTTAATCGTAGTAATTCGAGTCAGAATAAAAGAACAATATGTGCGCCGGCGTTCGCTTGGAGCTTGGTGAATTAAACTGTTTTTGTTTTGTTTGTAGGTGGAAAATCATCCAATGACTTCTCTCGTTTTGGATGAGAGTAGTATCAGACTCATAACTCATCAGACTCATGACAAAAAACCACCCCATTGCTTCTCATTACGTGCGAAGCCGATGTGGGTCGCAAGTATATTAACATAATATAGGAATATTTCTTTATTGTGTCAATATAACATGGAAATATCGTTAGAATATGGTATTTAGTTTCAACAATAACAAATAATTGATTAAAAAATATGTCATTTTAATAAACAAAGATATTAACACGTGTAATGACATAATAGATAGAAACTTTTATTCAGTGCGAACACGCCAACAGCGGGGTGGATTTAAAAAAAAATCTATTGTTTATGGATAACTATAGGGATATTGATAGACAATGGATTTATATCAAAGATGGGTATAATATGAGACGGTTGTGATATCTGGACTCATTTGTTGGTCGAGTTTAATCAGAACAACAAGAGATCAAAGTTAAAGGTTAGTTCATATCCTTTTTAATTTATTTTTTATATACATTAACTTAATTAACTTAATAGCGGTTACTAAGTTGTGCGCACATGTCCTTAAAACGTTTAATATGTTATTTTTTTAGATCTAGTTTAGACCTTATTTTTACTTTACAGTATAAAACCCTGTGAAATTATAAATGTGATAAGTTCCTTTTTTTTTAAATAAATTCTGCAGCAGTGTCTAAGTGTCCATGTGAAACATAGGTGACTAAACAGTGGCGAGAAAATTAAATAGAATTAGGTAGGCAGTTAAATACCAGCAATAACAAGGTACGTAATAAACAAAAGAAAGCTGCTTTAATGGCTTTCATGGCTCATCTAAGCAATCATGTACCTATTAGAAAACTATCCTACTACGAAGAAGGTACATATACCAAGAGTGGAGAAAATCATCTAATGACTTCGCGCTTCTGTGGTTGTTTGATGGATCAACCTTGGCTTGGACGAAATGCGCCGCACGTTCAGATCTGGTTCTTGCTAGGAGGTGAGATACCCTCGCTCGTAACGTGATCCCCGACGCCCAGAGCGACTCCTGCGGCAGCTAGGGCATGAGGAGAATCGTTGCCTCATGCAGCCACCCAATTCCTCACAAACGGCACCATGGCCTTAGCTAAGGTCGGGCGCGAGAGATCGTCGCGTCCAATTCTTGAGGACACAGCGGTACTCAAGCATGGTACATCACCACCATATTCAAAACGGGTAGCTTCCAAATTCCCCTGTCCAGTAAACATATGACTGTGACAAGCGAAAGCTAAGGACGTCGTGGAGACAAGAGACTCTTCAAAACGGAATCTTACGCAGCGATGAAACGTGGGGGAAAAAGTCCCGTCCCTTCTTTTGCTCTGGGTCGGGGCCGCAGTGAATTATTGCGCATACTTACAAGTACCTACCTACCGTTTTCCATCCTGGGTGGGGCGAGATGGAGAATCAAAATTCTAACTGATTAAAGACACCCGTTCCTTCTCCTACTCCAATCCAGGCCACAGTACATCATTGAGCTTTGAGCCTTCCCGCAACTCTGGCGGGGTACTAACCTGCCTACCTAGCAATTTTTTATCTTCTTATTCAAATATTAATTTTAAAATAGTTACGTGTCTAGGATGTTTTATGTATTATCTACTTACAATCTAAAATAAAGGTAGTATACTTACCTAGTAGCAGTAGTAATCTACATCAATTATAAATCTACAAATACTATTAGAACTTTTAAAATGCGACCAATACCGCTAATAAAAATAAATTAGGTACCTATCTTAAAAGAACTCTTTGGTCACTCCTACATAATAAAATCCATAACAAAAAAGGAAGCTCAAGTAACCACTTCCAATTTTAAAAGGACCACTTTTCCCGCCATTTCTGTGATCGTAATTCGAAAACTTCTTCGCCACTAAAGGCGCCGGCTGTCAGAATGCTCCCTAGGAAAAGTGTGCAGCCAGTAAAGCGAACGTTCTGTGTCATGGCCGTCAATTCACTTAGGGGAAGTCGATCATGCCCCGCTTGATACTAAAAGCTACTAAAAGCCCTCCATAAAAGCAATAATTAAATTTGTGTAACTCAATTTAGTAAGGCGATGCTGCCGAAGGTGAATCTACCTATGTATGAGAACCTCTTTTGTGCAATAGACTTAAAACTATTAACAGTGTCCTACGTCTTCTTTGATGTTTTTTACTTGGTTTAATTAAAAGCTGCATAATTTTCTCTTCCAGGTTTTGAAACAGATGCTTACCAGGTACATTCCGTTTGCTAAATCTTCATCAGCTTCGTGTTTCTCAAGGTATCAACATGTATGCAAGTAAGTACATAGTAAAAGTGATTCTTAAGTCACTGTTCCATAGAAGTAAAAATTGTAACTAAAGCCCTTTATTATTTTCGTGGAGCTAATCGCTTATTTACCAATAAAATAAAGGTTCCGCACGCAAAATTAAATCAGTTGCTTTCCAACTACTAACGACATCTCTGAAAAATTAAGAGAAGCAGAAGGTCACGGAACCCTCGACAAACTCGAACACCGTTTGCTACACGGCAACTTTTTCAGAAGGACTTTTTTTTGTGGTGCTCATCCTCGTTCTTAACCTTTAATGCGATATCTACTGAGAAAGTAAGCAAACTATTCTATTTCAATATTTAGCTACATAGTTGAAATAGTTTATAAACTATCATAACAACAAGAGTCCGATTGTTATGTAAACTACCATTGGTAATTTATTTTGTTTTTGGTAACACTTTGACATAAAGGTCAAATTAAACGTACCTGTCTGTCTGTCATTGTCAGCTGACAGCTTGCATCTGTCAAAGTTGTCACCCGCTCTAATGTCAGTCAGTTGATCATTAACGTGCAGTGCGATTGTTATTGTGCTTATTATTTTGCAGATAATAGTTTTATTATTACGTACTCTACACTTTTCCTCCGTACAAGGTTATTCTGTAAATGCATTGTAACGATTTATTGATGGCCCTAAAGTGAAATACGTATTGTTCATATAGTTTTTATTTTTATTCGTAGACTTAATACTCGTATTAGTTCGTAAACTTTTTTATTATTTTTTTGCGTGCATATATTTAATGTTCTCATGATGTCAGGTCCATATGAGGAAGCTAACGAGATGAATACACTCAGTCAAATTATTGATCAAGAGCATATGATCAAAATTACATCGAATTTCACAAGATTGGGAGGTAAGTCGTTTCAAATTATCTGTACATTCATCTTACTCTCGTTTTAAAAGTTTATGCAAGTAGGCTTGTTGCTTAAACTTGATTTAAAAGAGAAAGTTAAGCACAGTGAAATGGGAATGAACAAAATTGTTAATTACATAATATTATACATGAAATTGTTACACTCAAAATAATATCTTTCTCGTTAATTTATTGTGTATGAAAAAATGGTGCTAGAATTTGCATTAAAATATTCCCATTATTAAATAGAAAGCACAAAAATTATAAGTTGATGTCATTTCAAAATAACTTAAAGTGTGGAGTCCCAAACACCTGCGTAAAGTCAGTTTGTAACATATTATCAATTACTAATTACATTTTGTTGGATTTCTCTATCCTTCAAACTAGCTACTTCATTGGAACTGTACAAATTATGCATTCATACAGCTGTACATATAAAAAAAATTAGGTACATAAATGTCACAGTTATTAATTGTATATTTACAGACAGATGTTATTTGGAAAATGCGGGGGCCACATTATATCCACAATGTCTGCTGACAGCTGTACATGAAGACCTTGTGAATAATGTCTATATGAACCCTCACTCAGACAAATATACCAAAGACTGTGTAGAACAAATCCGAAGTAGCATCCTTAAGCACTTCAACACAGATCCGTGTACCTACACAGTTGTATTTACAGCGGGGACAACATCCGCACTGAAACTAGTAGTTGAATCTTTCCAATTTTCTGTAGACAATATAGACAATGTTAAAAACAATGGTTCATTTGTATATTTGAGGGACAACCACACATCAGTGCTTGGTTTGAGAGAAATTGCTGCTGATAAGAATGCAGACATCATACACATATCACATGAAGACTTCCTACTAGCTGTTAAGAATAATGAAAAGTCACATTCAATACAAAAGGAAAAAAATCTAAACAAAGATGATACTAATACATTGCTGGTCTACCCTGCACAGAGCAATTTTAATGGATTCAAATACCCTATAGATTGCATAGAGCTAATAAGAAATGGATGTCTTAATAGTCACTTAAAAAAACAATTGTGTCAAATCAATGATAACTGGTACATTCTTCTTGATGCAGCTTCATTTGTGTCCACAAATAAATTAGATCTGTCTGCAACACAACCAGATTTCGTTTGCCTCTCATTCTACAAGATATTTGGATACCCCACTGGATTGGGGGCAATATTAATTAAGAATAGCAGTAGTGATGTTTTGTGCCAAAAACGATATTTTGGTGGTGGGACTGTTGATTTTGTTTTAAGTACAGAAGATATGCATGTTAAAAGGAAAAATTTGTATGAAAGGTAATATGCATTTTTTTATTATTTCTCTTCTAGCTGTAAACATAATTATACGACCTCAAAAATTGAGGTTTTTACAACTTTTACCTATTATTCCTACCTATATAATTTTATACCCTAACTGAATATACTCAGCCGGTAACAATTCATGTTATACAAAAAATCATAAAAGTTTTATACCTAATAATATAATGATATGAATATTCATATTTGTAATTGAAATTACAAAAAAATCTACATAATTAACTCTTCATTTCATTTGCGTTGAACTTGGAACACAACTGGAATGATCTAGCATATTTGGATCAAATAAATATACACCAGTTTAATCAGTTGTTTTGTAAATGTGACTGGCAATGCAAACAAAAATATGAACAATACCTTTCTCTTTTAAATGATGTTTGAATAATATTTATGAATATTTTTTTTCAGGATGGAGGATGGAACAATACCTTTTTTATCAGTGCTTGCGTTAAAGCATTGTTTCGACACTATGCACAAGTTGATACCTAAATCAATAAACGACGATATTATGGAAACGATATCGTACCACACGTATTTTTTAGCAAAAGACCTTTATCTCCAACTGCACGACTTGAAACATACAAATGGTAATAAGGCAGCTATTACATACATGGATTCCAACTTCAGTGATATAAGAAAACAAGGCGGAATCGTTACATTTAATCTTTTAAGAGAAGATGGCTCTTATATTGGTTTTGTTGAGGTAAACAAAGCATTATTTTATTTTTAATAATTTATTAAAATTAAGCTATGGCGCCGATAACTGCGAAGTTTTGGTACCAAACTAAACTGACAGATACTGGCCGAAAAAGTTCATTTTTAATCACGCACGCATTGCCGACAGTTTGTGAGGTTAAATTTTGTCCAAGTCTTATAAAACCTTGTATCTACACTAAAATTTAAACAAATTCAAAAAACATTCTAAAGCATTCATAAGAATGCAATATTTTTGTTGACCGTAAAAAATCCTATGCCATGCGCACGTGGCAACACGAGTAGGAACCAAAATCGAATGAACAAAATAAATCTCGACTTGAAACTGGCAATTTAGAACTACTGATTAAAAGATAATAACTGTACAAATTCAATTATATACCTAATACTCGAGATTTCGGGGATGCTCGTCGCGTAGTAGATAACGTCGCGAGGAGGCGTTGTCATGACCTCGAATCATCATACAATTAATAAGTATTTCTACTAACATACATCTATACAAAATTATCTATACTACATATCTGCATATATCTATAGTATGAACTAAGCACGAATTCGTAAACAACGAGATGACGAAAGATTAATTATTAAGTAGCCACTCTTATCTCTAATGAAGCGTATTTTATTATTTTAACTTTTAGAGATATTTACCTCTGGTCTGCATTTGTGCAGTTTTTCTTTTTAAACTTTCCAATCATATTTGCAACCACTCAAACACTCAACACACTAGATATTATAGTAATGTAGAGTTAAGTAGAACTAAAATCTGTGAAATATTGAAGTACCCACGCATTGTGTAGAAATGCTTTATCTGATAAACATATACACGGTGAAAATTTGTATGACACTTAAATTACTTACAACGAATTAAAGGACAATTTTAAATTTCAGTTCCAGCATATGGCTGACTTATTCAACATCAGTGTGCGAACGGGATGTTTCTGCAATTCTGGCTCCTGCCAACGGCATCTAGCAGCTTCAAACAAGGAGTTGAAAGAAATGTTCAAATCTGGTCATGTTTGTGGCGACGAAATAGATCTCATTGATGGAAGACCAACAGGGGCTATCCGAGCCTCATTTGGATACTTTAACACATTCAAAGATGTAGACAAACTAATACATATGATATGCCGATGCTTTGTCAAGACGAAAATGAAACAACCAAAACGTTGCTTATCAATGAGCCATAGAACCATAATGGATGCATTAAAAAATAATAAATTATACAACGGCATAGCACAAGCACATAAAACTTGGAATCAAAACGAGTTCCCCTTAAAGAATGAAGTAGAAGATATTCCACAAAACAATAATAATAGTGATAGTAAAATCTCATTAAAAGAATTAGTTATATTCCCAATCAAGTCTTGCGGTGCTTTTAAAATTAAGTCTGCATGGAAAATAGGACCCAAAGGATTTGAATTTGATAGGGATTGGATGATTATAAAGGATAACGGCGTATGTTTAACACAGAAACACACGTCTAGAATGTGTATGATAAAACCTAAAATAGATCTGCAAAGAAGAGTACTGGTATTATACTTTGAAGGTACGCAGTCTTCATAATAAAAGTTATTTAAAAATTATTTTAACGTGTATTAACTATATTTTTCCTACTGTTTCAGGCAAAACTCCAATATCGGTGCCTTTAGATAATCCGTCCGACAAGAAAATGAAGAATTCATCGCTTTGTCGTAGCAAAGTGTGTACAGACATTGTCCAAGGTTATGATTGTGGCGACGAAGTAGCCGACTGGATATCAGAGGCCTTAGAAATATCCTACTTGCGTCTTATAAGACAATCGAGTGACGACAACAGAAGTCAAAAGAAAAAACAAAACGGAGAGAAAAAAATGCTTTCTTTAAGTAACCAAGCTCAATTCCTCCTGATAAACAAAGCCACAGTACGATGGTTGAGGGAAAAGATTCAGGATCCTCTATTTGTTGATGACGTAGATAGTTTAACCGACAGATTTAGAGGAAACCTGGTCATTGATATGGAAGAAGAACTTGCCGAACGAGATTGGCATAGAGTCATCATCGGGAATCAAGAGTTCAAGGTAAATAAACACTAAACAATAACTGCCATGTCACTATTTTTTATCGAAAAAGAAAAAAAACATGTGATGAATCATGCCTGCTTATCATTTGTTGCCACGCAATTGCAAAGGTTTTTTTTATGAATTTTACAAGTATTTAATGATAAGTTATTGCTTATTTTTCGAAATGTTGAAATAAACAAATATTGTTTGAAATGCAAATATAAATTGACAGCACGAGTGAAGTCGAAAGAAGTCCACGAAAGAAGTCCACTTAATGTGGACAAATCAGTTGATGACGCGACGTGTCGCGGTATATCCACAAATTATGGGTTTGATGTGAAAATTTTAAATTGCTATAAAAAATAAACTCATCTTTTTCAGGTCGAAGGCCTCTGTCCAAGATGTCAAATGGTGTGCATCGACCAACAAACAGGTGAAAAGACAGTAGAACCTCTTAGGACAATCTCCGAACAATTTGCAGGAAAACTGCGATTCGGTATTTATTTAAGTTACGTTGGTGCAGCGGACCAATCGAAAGACCGTTACCTTAAAATACACGCACCGGTACAACCTATAATAAACGACGACGACATAAGTAGGTGAAATTTTTAAATAAGTGTGTGGTTACAATATTATTTTAATTTAAGAAAATATATTTTCTTATTTGGGGTTAAAGTATGGTGGTTGGGTTAGCTAATTGGGTTTTCTGAATATTTTTTTACTCGTAAAATATGGGAAGTCTTTCTGGGGCTATGATCCGTATCTCATCAAGCAGTCATTATTTTTATAGATACAAATAACAAGTGTATCTATTATATTTGAATCATACATTTGGTTATGATCACATTTTAATACAGGTTGTACACACAAATATTTAAACAGTGTGTTGGTTTAAATTTACAATTTTGAAAAGTCTTATGTGCGTTATGAAAACAGCCTGTATACAAATCAAAATCAAGCCCCGAGTGCTTAAAAATAACTGTTATCAAAAATAATTAGTTTTCAAGGTAAACAAAAAGGTCTAAATAGAAAAAAATATAAACTGGTTGAATTTCTACCACTGATTTAGTTTTTCTCCCACTACACTTCTTCCCTTAAATATTTTTATATATCGTACATAAAATCAATGCAATATTTGTCACGAAAAATGGATAGTAATCTCTTTATTAATTTTAATAAGACCTTCATGAGATATGGACTTGTCCTTTTATTAATTTACTTATTTACTAAATTTCAAAAAAAATAGTTTTAGTGCAGCTATATTGTGTGCAGAATATTACGGCTGTGATATGTAAGTTACACAATAATCTAGAGTGTGTCTAAAAAATCAAAGTTATTTTTTGTTGAAACATTTTAATATATTTTGTTTAGAAAATCATTTATAATGTGATATCAAGTTTCAAAATAATGAGCTAAAATACTGCATCTTTTCATTGCCGCTGAATTAGCTAAAAGTGATCTTGTTTGATAAATAATAAATTCATGTACCTACAAAACATTAAGAAATGTTTTGGCTTTTTAATAATAAATAAACAGAGGCTGACTGTCGACTGATTTTTAAAATCAATTGACAATAAGAGACTGAATGATATAATATAAAGGTTAATAGATAGCCATTATGCAGATTTAATCAAATAAATATTAATTGGCTTTATACATTTTAAATTAAGCTGTAAAGTAGTTCAACATTTGTAAGTATTGTAATTACCAAATTGTAAAACAAATATATTTTGTAAATTTTTAAAATGAAATCGATAACGAAAATAAATCAGATTTTATATATTTTATGTATTGTAGTGAAATAGTGAAAAATATTTCTATTATAAATAGAAAAGGAGTTGTTATTTTCTCATTTTATATTTTAATTATATGTCTAAGACTAGTTTTAGAATTACAGTTGTTTAAGAGTTTAATATATTTTATGATATTGCACAGTTTATTGGTTGTTGTCCTTTTATTAGCTGTGGCTCCTCCCCTAGCGAGACATTGTTTACTACTTCAGCTACTTCATTAAAGTCTGGCAATGCCATTGTCTGTAGCTTTGAATATATTAATTTATCATTTACTTCAACCTCAAAGGCACCTGAAAAAGAATGGCCTAATATTCAAACAGTTTTATACCTAAAGTTTACTTTTAATTTTATTTTATCAAAAAATCGAGTCTGTATATTGTTTTGCTGAAAGGAATAACATTGACAAAATCTTTAAATAATTATATAATTTTAAGAACTGTTAAATATTTGAATATTTGGCGGCCCAAGCCTTTAATGAATTTGAGTAGTTAGTTATATTTTATTTTCCACAATATTGACAGTTACAACTATGTAGGTATATTATATGTATTTACAAATACATTACCTTGTCTTCCACGAGTACAGTGTATTGTGGCATTTGGTGTTATTTTTCTGATTATTTGTCCAAGAGCTAAGCAATGACCCCCATAATCACAAACTCCACTGAAAAGTAAAAGAAGAATGTTACAGTAAAAGAAAAAGAGTGGAAAAAAGAAAACAATGTGTCATCATTACAAAAAATATACACAAAAAGTCACCATAACGCTAAATGATATGGCCCTGGCACAAGAACTCAAATCTACACTACTGATGTTCAGCACTAGCCAGCCAGGAATAAACAAAATTGTTAAAAGGATTTTTGCACAAATTGAATAATTATTAGTAAGCTTAGATTGACCGCTTCCACTACATAATATTATGTTCTATGGTGGAGTATTAAATAACCTAACCTATACCATTTTTCAATTTTCAGTATACTTTAAAATGCAAATTGTAGCAATTTTTGGCATTACACGTTCTCATTTTATATACCTATAGTCCTTCACACATTATTTTATGTTATTCAAACTATTATAAAATTAGAGAATAACAAAATAAAATTATAGTTACTATACCTACCAGTATTCCACTTTGACTTTAGGATGATTCTCTTTCACAGGTTCAGTGCTGGCCATTATGTTCATTTATTTGAAATTTCTCCGTCTTTACATAGTCAGTTTATTTCATCTAATAATTAAAACTAATTTTAATTTACCGAATTGTGATGTTTGTAAACTTAAAACAGCTGATAATTATGTTGCCATACGAATTCTTCAAATGTCATTAAAAGATAATATTTAGTGCCCCCGGAATGCACTGTGTTTTTACATTTATTAAACAGATTGAAGTAAGAAAAGTGTTAAAGCTAATTTCATTTGTAATTATTGTCCTTGTGATTGTATCAGTTGTTAGGCATATCGATTAAAAAATAAATATTGTAGAAAATCAAACAAATAATGTGGCAGCCCCTATGTTAAGTTGGGAGTGGAGACGTCAAAAATGACATTATTGACATGACATAAAAGTCATAAAGAAACCGATCGATTGTTGTTGTTTTTTTCCCCCATTTATTATGTGATTTTCGTGATAGTGAACTAAAAGTAAACAATGCGCCAATATTATTAGTTAAAGATCCCAAAATATAACCAGTTCCGTATGGGAGGTGGCACACGGAGGAACATTCATTGTTACTTAACTGTTTTAGTCCCTCTATCATTATGGACTACGACTATCTCATTAAACTTCTATGTGTGGGAGACTCTGGAGTTGGGAAGACGAGCTTCTTATACAAGTATACCGACGGAGTCTTCCATACGCAGTTTATTTCCACAGTGGGCATAGACTTTAGGGAGAAAAGTGTGGTAAGTTCATTATCAAACACTAATATTTTATCACATTAATTTACCTACTTATCGCGAATGATTGATACCGATAAAATTAATTAACGTATGAGCTTTTTGCAATGTACTTTAATTGACCACTTACTTTAAATATGAAATTTGAGGCTTTAAAAAATTACTTTACTTTTTTGTTTGAAATATTTCAGATTTACCAGCAGAATGGGAGGCAGCATCGCATTCACTTGCAACTATGGGATACAGCTGGTCAAGAGCGGTAGGTATATAAAACACTAATAAATCTTGTTCTTATTCTTACATTGTCCTAATGCGGTATTGACATACTAAGATATATATGTTAATGAGCTTGCTTTCCAGTTAATGGTCTGTTATTCTCGGACAACACTAGACTTGATAATGGGATTATCTTTAAGGGAGAAAAGAACTCCCCTAGTAGACTTGATATCTATATTGAAATAATTTTAACTTTCTAGATTCCGCAGCCTTACTACAGCTTTCTACAGAGATGCAATGGGATTCCTTCTGCTGTTTGATCTGACCAATGAGGCATCTTTCCTCGAAGTCAGGAACTGGATTGAGCAGCTTAAGGTAATAATTTGTTTTGTATCTTATTACTAAAGTCATAAAGCTCTTATTGATTCGTTTTTTAATACAAAATTGTTTATGAGCATATAAGCAGCCTAACAGTCAGAAATAGATAACAAACATAATTGATGTTTTCTCATTAGCAATGGCTTTTCTTAAGGGGAAAATCTAAAAAAAAAAAAATCCAAATACTTCTCTCGCCCAGGGTGAGGCGAGAGGGAGTGTCGGCCTCTTTCAGACTATCCCTCTGCCTCCTGCCCCCTCCTGCTTTAGGCCGAGGTCGCAGTACGTTACTGCCCCGTAACCCCGGCTTTTTTTTGCGACGGGAAAATCATCTAGGGAGGGGAGTCTCAGACTCTTACTGACTAAAAACCCCCTCTTCTTTCTTTGTTCGTTCTTCCTTTGGCCGAGGTCGCGGTGCCTCATAGCGCTTACCCTTACCCTTTTATTAATGCGAATTGTCAAAAATAATTCATTTATTTTTCTCGTTTTCCAGACTCATAGTCTCTCCGATGACCCAGATATAGTGCTCTGTGGTCACAAATGTGATTTGCAAGAAAAAAGGCTGGTTAACCAGAATCGTGCCCGGGAATTCGCCAAGAACTACAACCTGCCATACTTAGAGACTAGTGCCAAATCTGGACAGAATATCGACCGTGCTATCGAGATTTTACTTGACCGCATCATGAACAGGTAAGAATGGTGTAGCCGTTAATCTAGAAAATAGTTTGGCTTCAGGACAAAGAGACTCGACGGAAGTCATACCATGGTTTCACGAAATACTAGCGTGAACAACGCTTGCGTTATGTTTTGCTGTGTGAGTGAGGTGGTGAGATTCCATTCGCCCCTCCAACTACAATTCTAAAACCCCAATCCTCTAATCTCTAACAACCCACAAAAGGGTACACTCTTGTAACCCCTTGCGATAATGATTGCTTTCATTGAGATTATTTGCTGATCTATCTTTAAAGAATAAAATAAATGAAGCCACCTTAACCTGTAGTATAACTGCAACGACAATATCACAACAATGTGGATAGCATGAAGGAAATTGTTTATTGCACAATTTTTTAAACTACCTTCCCTCCCCGATTTACGTTGAGTACGAGTTGAACCGAGAATGGGAGATCAAGTCAAATAGCATTATAGTTTTGTTACTAATGATGTCTAACCAACTACCCTCTTGTTAATTTGAAGAGGTTGGTCTTTTGGGAGGTCGTTAATTAATACCATTCAATGGGCATTGTGAATAATTAATATAATTATGCAGAATGGAGTCTTCAGTGGAGTATGCGATGCTCTGTGCGTCGGGCCGTCGCCGTCAATCGCTCCAGAAACTGCAAGCCAACAAGGACAAGAAGTTTTGTTCCTGCTAATTTTTATAATCTGTGATTTTATACTATCTTATACACTATCTTACCTTGAAACTAAAAAGTATTTGAGTATACAATTTATGAACATATTTTATATTTATAATCTTCAAAAACATTTTATATTACAATCTTGGAACCAAAAAATTATTTATTCCAAAGGGTCTATGGTTAATGAGACTGATTTTTGTTTTCAAGTTCGTGGAACTGATTTGTTTTACATTCCATCTATCCACAAAAAGTACAGTTTTTTATAACTTTTTAAAAGTGATTTCTGACTTTAATGTCTATGGTTTTTTTGTGAAATTTATTTATTATTTATAATATATAGACTATATGATCTGACTGTCGTAAATTCTTTTACAAGTATAATTTTCGAAGTGAAGTTTGTCCTTTAAATTTAGTGATGGCCGTTACATGGCTCGAGCCGAATACAAGTATTTAAATACTATTCGGCGATACAAGATACCAAATTGAAATTGTGTCTTTGCCAACTAAACACGGTTTTCATATTTAAAACTTATTTTTATTCCGAAGAGTTAAATGTCGAAGATGAGTATTGACTGTTGCTTTGTTTATCTTAAGTGCAGGGTAATCCTAGTCACGTGCAGTATTGAATCCGTAGAGTTATTTTATTGTTAAACAATATACAATGCATTCATACATAAGCATATTTTAAAAGGTTTTATTTGTCTTTCGTTCGGACAGAATGGGGAGTATGAAAATATCGAAATCGCGATCTTTACATTTTTATTTGTCACACTGAAATGTTATACATAATTTCTAAAGCGTTTTTTAGCTATGCTAATTGTTACTATCTACTAAATGAGGTACCAACTTTATATTTGATTATTTGTTTATATTACATTATTTGTTCAGAATCTGGACATGATAATGAAATACCTAAATTATGAACTAATGACTATCCATCAAATGTTCGGCTTTTGTGTTTGACGCCATTTTTTTTCGGCTAAAACTCGGCCTTAAGGCGAACTATTACATCAGCTTTACATATTATGTATGGGTCCGTTGTGTATAAGAATCGTGGTGTTGTTAGCTTGTTTTTGTTGTTGAATGTTTTGCACAAGTGTGATATTTTAATAGCACAAAATAATTACCTATTTATTATTAATTATATAAAGTGTATCCAGTGAGTTTTGTCTGCTGAAGTTTGCTGTTTTTGGGAAAATCTTATGATATTTGATATTGAGGAGTTAACCCTAGTCTATGGGAATGATACTAATCTGAATGAATTGTTATACACTTTTTATATATTTAAATAATATATAGATTTTAAGTCAATACAAGCATTGAGATGTGTTTATACTAATCGAGCTATCACTAAGTGTAACATTTTTATGTAGCTCTAACATCATATATACGAGGGTTGGATAGCGCAAAAATAAAATATACATATAGATATTTATTACAATGAAACGTATTGTCATCTTACCTACTGTCATAATTCAGCTGGGGTTCGGGGTAAGCGCTATTAGTTACCGCGGCCTCGGCTCAGTACAGGAGAAGGAATTCAATGAATGTGTTTTTAATCCACAAAAGTCTGACACTCCCCCAAACCATGGGCGGGAGAAGTAATTTGATGATTTTACCCTCGAAAAAAAAATCATTACTTTTCATATCTTGTTTAGTCTAAACACATCTCATATTGTGAAATAAGTATACTTGTTCACGAATGTGTCATCTACATACATTTATTATTATCTAAGTACTGTTTAAGATAGTTGCTAACTCCATGAGTCTGTATACCCCTAGAAATATTCCTAATAAATCCGTTCCTCATATATTTAACAATATACGGCAGCCCTAGTAGATACATCATGTTGTCAAATAATACCTGTACATAATAAAACTTTCTAAAGACGAAACACGGTTCGGCGAGTATTCGGCTTTGCAGCTGAATATTCGCCCTACCATATCCAAGTATACTTCTTCATTTTTTTTTATAAAATATTTATTAAAATAAAATTCTTGCCATAATACATAAGTTTATCATAATCAATTCTAGTCATATTTAATCAATTTTATAATATTAACGCGCAGCAATTTAGAGAATGCGCGAAAAATCAAACGAAAGTTTTGTAATTTTTGTGATCGGCTTAAAAACCTATATTTATTATTAAATAATATTTTGTATCGTATTAATTAAAACATTAAGATTTACCCTTGACCAAATTACGATTTATATACATACCTATTATGAAGTGTCAATTTTGTGTACAATTATTGTCTATTTGATGTTTTCTGTGTCAATAAATAACATAATATGATTATCAAAATGATTTTGTTTTACTTAACACCGAGAAAAGTTTATGTCTATAGAGAAGTTCCTTCTTTTGTCTAAGTGCCAAATATTTTGTAGGATATTTGGGTGCTACTAATTTAAATTGTCGTACCTACTTACTTATATGCCAAAATATTTACATTATCATTTTTATTTTAATAAGGATAGCATTTTAGCGTCAATACGTCAACAAAGACTAATATAAATCTGATTTAAAAATGTAGATAGCTAGGTAGAGACCTATGGCTCTTTCTCTTTTTTTTTATTATCAAGTAGGTACTTAAAATAAAAAGTCATAATATACCCAAGTATTTCTAGTTAAACATCAAAATACTAACAGAATAATGAAATGGAAACAAAGTAAGTAGATTTTGTTATATTGCATTTAGCTTCAAGCCGTGCACCGAGGGGTCGTGGGCGAGTTCACCAAACTGCGATCATCTGGCCCCCCTACACGCACGTGACACGTCTGCCTGCAGTATTTTATATGACCGCGCACAAATATAAACCAAATCATAGGGGTGTAAAGCTCAAAATTGTGCGGGTATTTATAATAAGCTGCAATATACACCGACAATGGATCTTATACATGGACTCTGTTAGAAGGACATAGTGTCGAAATTGGCCTTTCTGAAGGACGCGACCCCATCACGCAGACGCGGAAGCTCTCGTACTACGTCACACTAGCGCTAATCTTGGCCCTACTTAACGTTGTTTTCGTTGTTTCCACGATACTATCTCATCATGTGATCTTTCGTGTCGATTATAAAATAAACCTTTCTTAATTTTTGTTTCTATATGGTTTGTGAGTTGTAGTTTTCGTGTTTGATACGTGCGTGTGTTTTTCCGGGGCGTTATAGTGTACTGTGTATAGCCGCGGCGTCTGTGGCTAGCTTCATTCCGCTAGACAGTTTGTTTATGTGTTGGAAGACAACAGATTGGTGCAGCCGGCTTCTCCGAGCTCCGTAATGCGAGGCGCCGTGTTTTCAGTAAGACGCGAGTTATCAATGAAGCTGCGTGAACGTGAATAGTGCACGGAATACCCGCAAGATTGTAGCTGTGTGTAAAGGAAACCGCGTGGTTTACAGTGCAGTGTTGACATTTTATATTATCGAACTGAAACGATACGATAGCGATACATATTCCGATACATTAATCCAATATTTTAAGCAGTGATTTTTAGGATTTACAAGGGGTAAGTTGATTTGTATCTAATTGTTGTTTATAATAATTAGGCACATAATATCTAGAGAGGTTTATCAAATGAGTAGGTATTTGCCAGTTATTAAATTATCTACATAGATATTTACCTACCTGTTTGTAGGATAAGTTCCTATACCTATCTTTGGTAGGTAAGTATTCTTCCTTCCTGAGTACAGTACTGTACTTATTTAGGTACACTAAAGATATATATGTAAGTAGGTAAGTGTGGTTCCTTTTTGTGCGAGCTTGATAATCTAAGATTCTATATTGAATTTTAAAATGAGAATTTCTAAGTATCGTAGTTAGTAACCATCACTTCTTCCCCAGTGGTCTAAAAATATGGTTTAGGTAATAACCTAGTTTATTTATTTAGACTTCATACCATATAATGGGCATATCGTATCATACCTACCTACCTTACCTACTTAAATTATAAATGTTAACAGTGTTGCACTATTGCAAGATTAAAGTGTGGGAGAGCCATGCTTCGGCACGAATGGGTCGGCTCTACCGAAATGATACCACAGAATACCGGCGTGAAATAATACTTAATTAGGTACGTTGTGTTAGGTTTTGTGATTGACGTTACCCGAAGGCCCAATAACCCAATACCCAAATCCCATAACCTTAAATCCTTACACGTTAAACGCCATGGTGGTCATCAATGACCTCCGTTAGCGGAGGATTTGCCTTCAACTGTTTTCTGACAGCAGTCAAAGGCTGAAAAACCCAAAAATGCGGCAACGCACTTGGTGCTCCTTTGATGATATGAGTGATCATTTTGATGCAGCGCTGATTTTCCTATTCCAGTCCCTAAATAAATACCTTTTTTGTGGAAAGAGCGGCAAACGAAGAACCGATCCACCTGATGGCAACACCAAAAGGGTTAAAATTGCAATATCTGCCTTTCAGGTGTGGGAATTTTGGTATAGAGGACATTATGTATGAAAATACGCAAGCGTTGTTTCACGCCCGTTTTCATTGTGGAACAGGGCGTGAGCTTCTATTGCTTATATATATAGAGTGCAAATCCAGAGCGGCCAACGCTCTGATGGAAAGCAATCAGCGCCGCCCATGGACACCGCAACACCATAGGAGTTAGGTACAAGTGCATTGCCGGCCTTTTGGGGCTAAGGATGTCGGATATTAAAGGATTGGGAAGAAATGGGAAGGGAGGTAACCTCACTCACACGGCGAAACACAACGCTCTGATTTTTTCAAGCCAATGTTTTTTGAAGCCGTTTTCGCTCTGGTCGAGCCGATCCATTCGTACTGAAGCTAGGCACATTCGATAACTGTGGGAGAGCGAGAGTGAAATCAGACTTTAACAGTCTAAAAACCGCCCTGTTCCTCCAACTGCTCTGAGTCTTCAGTCCGCGGGGCCGCAGTATACGTACAACAACATTCCGCTTGCACCCGCAATCCCGGCTAATCCAGCATGTAATGAGGCTTCTGTTTGTGCTACAAAACTAGCCCGCAATCCCAGCCCTAATTACTTTTACACTAACGTAAACTAATAATATAAAAAATTCAGTATTTAATCTCGGTTGGAGAGAAGCCACTGAATTTAACTTTTATAATGGAATTGTTAGATAAAGTGAAGTTTACAGGATAAGGGTAGTTACTGTAGAATAAGGTAGGGCTATTCACTTCAAGAGAAGCTGGAAAAGCTTTTTGAAAATAAAGGCAAACAACACCAACGGTTAGGTACTTACATAGAATAATAAATTACCTGGTACAAGCTGCTGTGGGATTGAAATTGAGACGTAGGTATACTTAGTAGAGAAAACAGCGTCGTGTTTCGCAGTGTAACTGAAATTAACGGAGATCCAATCCTTCCCATCCCCCACCTCTCCTAAATCCCCAAAACCCCTTACTTACCGCCAAAAGTATAGCACTAAGTACTGTGGAGTTGTGGGTGTCCATGGACTGTGCTAATTGCTTACCATCAGGTAATCCGCCAGCTCGGTTGCCGTTATATCAAGTAAAAAGAACTTTAAGTAAACCTCATTCAATATGATTTAGGCGAATCTGATAAGTTAGCATAGGTACTTAAAGATTTAAAACTCTGAAATAGAAAAGCATTTTTTTTAACAGAGCGCTTCCCCGTACCTTTTTCATTTGAAATATTGAGTCTATTTCAGAGTATTTATTTTAAATACAGATAAACAATTAGAACTGATATTTGTAAGATCAAAATTACTATTGATTGACAATTGTGGAATTAATTACGTGCAGTTTTGAATCCGCATCCTCAAGCGAGCGCCT